CTCTCTCTCTCTCTCTCTCTCTCTCTCTCTCTGCTTCTCTGCTGCAAAAAGTGAGAGTTTTCCCACCACGCCCTTCTGTGATAAAACGTAGGCCTTGTCGTAACCCTAAGAGCAATGGAACCAGCCAATCATGGCTTGAAGTCTCGGAAACTGTGAGCTGACAGGATCCTTTCATTCTGGACAGGGATTGGCTCAGATACAATGTCAGTGTGACAACAAATGACTCACAGTATTCTTTTCTTTGCATTTTTTTAATTTTTAAAACTGCGTGTCTGGGGGTCTGGAGAGATGGCTCAGAGGTTAAGAGCATTGCCTACTCTTCCAAAGGTCCTGAGTTCAATTCCCAGCAACCACATGGTGGCTCACAACCATCTGTAATGGAGTCTGGTGCCCTCTTCTGGCCTGCAGAGATACATGCAGACACAATATTGTATACATAATAAATAAAATATTTTAAAAAAATAAAAGAAAAAAACTGCGTGTCTGTGGATTTGTAGTACCCACAGAGGTCGGAAGAGGACCCCAGATGTCTGTGAACTGTGTTATAGGCAGTTGTGAGCTGGTGTAGACACTGGGAACTGAACTCCAGTCCTCTGAAAAAGCAACAAGTGTCTTCATTGCTGAGCCATCCTTCCAGTCCCAGCATAGTTTTTAACTTATTTTATATGATGACAGCGATGTAGTGTTTGCCCATGTCTGATGTAGGGGCCCAGAGAGGTCAGAGGACAACTCTGTGGAGCCAGGTCTCTCCTTCCACCTCAGTGCATATGGGACAAACACATGGTCACTTCAGGACTGCCAGATTCTCTTGAGCCCGGCTATGTAGCCCAGGCTGGCCTCCAACCTACAGTCAGCCTTCCAAGTGTAAGAATTATGAACATACGCCACCGTTGCCTGCCCCCACCTTCTTCCCCCTTGAGACAGGGTCCCACTGTGCATCTGTGGCTGGAACTCAATATGTACACCAGGCTGGCTCTGATCTCACAGAGACCCACTAGCTTTTCCTTCTCAGCTGCTGAGATTAAGGGCAAGAAGCGGTGCACCTGGCACAGTCGCTCATAGTCTCAAATGTCAATTTGTTTTTATGGCCATGCAGTATTCCCTCACGTGTATATGTATATATTATGAAGTACTTGTTTTGGTTTAAATCTGGAATGTCCCCCAAAGGCTGGATTTGGCCACTTGGTGACCAGCTTGTGGTGACCCTTAGGCTGTGAAATCTTCAGGAAATGGAACACAGAGGCAGAAATGAGTCGTTAGGGATGAATAGTGTGATATCCTGAAGTTCACAACCAATCCCATGTAAAACAGCTTTTAAAAAGTCGCGTGCACATTAATAGCATGAAAAAGGGAGGTGGTTATCCAAACGACTGAAAAACAAAGTTTTGGCAATGAGAATATGGTTAAGCAGTATGTACGCCAATTCAACCCCTAACAGCAACAAAAAATAAAAATAGAAAAATGACAAAATAATTGCACCAAATCTTGCTTTTTAAAACCTGTCCATTAACTTTAAAATATTTTTCCACTGATTCTCAAGGTTCTAGATGTCACTTGTATTTTAAGGATTTTTTTCTTAGTTTTGTACCCATTTCAATACATATTTTTTTCTATTTTAGGCAAAAAGATATTAAATCTTTTGTTATTAAATCAAGATCTCTCACTACGTAGTTCAGACTGACAACAAACTTGCTATCCCCCTGCCTCAGCCTCCCCAATGCTGGTGACCATCCCCAGCTATGTTGGAAGTTTTAATTAGGAGAGAGTGTACAACCAATTAGGTGAGCAAAACGCCTAGTAGCTTTTCAGGATCCTAGCTGGGATCCTGAAATAGGGCTTGAGAAGGCAGCAGCTAGTGATGAAGGATGAGAGACTAGCCACCACAGGGGATGAGGCTGAACAGGGGTAAGCTGGTCGTAAGCAAGGTAACCTGAGAGGCGGCTGCTGGTGCTGCTTAGGTCACCTATACTTCTGTCACACAGACTAAGAGCCAGGAGCTCTCAGTCTCTGAAAAAGAGGTGCTGCTGAGCAACACAGGGCAAGATCCTGTGTGGGGGGGGGGAGAGAGAGAGAGAGAGAGAGAGAGAGAGAGAGAGAGAGAGAGAGAGAGAGAGAGGAAGGGAGAAAAGGAGAAAGAAAGAAAGGAAGGAAGGAAGGAAGGAAGGAAGGAAGGAAGGAAGGAAGGAAGGAAGGAAGGTTGGTTGTTAATTTCTGGGACCCATCCAGCAAGTTAGTAAATGAAGCAGGGAAGATGGCCAACGCTAATATAGCCAGACGAACAAAGGATTGTTAGGGGAAAGTTTGGAAGCGGTAATTAGGAACAGACTCACTAGCCTAACCTGACCTTAACCTGTACAGAATAGGAGAGAAAAATATTCTGTACACTGGAATTATCAGAGTTAACGCCAAAAGTCAGGTGGTGTGGTGCACCCTTTTAATCCCAGTGCCCCCCCCCCCCAGAGGCCCCAGAGCAGGGCCTCATACATGCTAGATACACTATAAATATTCTTAAACACTCGAATGATGTATTTTAAAACATTTTTTAAAAAAAACTTGTTTGCTCATGGGAAAGATAGAATGTGCTATCTCTAAGGATTAAACTCCCTGGAAATTTTCTGTTGCAAAAGCCCAAAGGAGAACAAAGGAAAGAACAAAATCAGAGTTCTAAGGCTTTCCTTCAGGCAGTCCTCTGGGGTGCCAATGAGACTTCAGGGTTGAGTTTTCTCCAATCAAACTTCGAAGAACGTTACCCTCCGGTATCAATGACACCTACCTCCTCCTCCAAAGACCTGACTCACTGACCTAGCTGACCCAGAAGTCTCACCCATTAGGACAGCAGTCAGCCTGGACCCTACTGTGCACTCCGTCTTTGGTCAAACCTAGCCCGGTAACAGAACCATTTCAGTCGAACAGCGATGTTTATTTCCAAAAGTACAAGCAGACCACAGTCAAATCTTTCAGCCACAAAGATAACAGGATAATTTGCTAACTCGCGGATCATGAAATAAATCCGTTGATTCTGTGGTCTGGAGGAGAGAAGACAGCTCAGGACGCTGTTTCTTTAGTTACTATAAAACTCTACTGGGGAAAAAAATAAGATACCCTGCACGTTGGGACAATTGCACATGGATTTGTTAGGGTCACCCGTCTGCAGTATCAGGCTTTTGATATCAGCTCATCTCCACAGGAAAGTAAAACACTTTTTACATATGTAATAAACGCTGGTCACACTCGCCCCTGTTATACATGTTAATGAGAAGCATTTGTTGTCAGTATTGTGTTCTAGAAGACATTAAAACTGTAGAATATTTAGGACTCAATCAAGCTCTACCTCGAATCAATGGAACGAATTTTATAGAGCGCCTGGCTTCCCTTTAAAATTAAAACTCCAGTATGCACCACTCCATGCATATGAAGTTGACTACTATACTAAGGAGTTTCTCAACATTATGCTTCGTTTTGTCCCATTACCAAACGTGAGATCTGCTGAAGTTATGTTGAGATCCTTGGTGTGTTTGGGGTCTTACCTAGCCGGCTCAACTAAAACACAAAGCAGAGATTTGTCTTAAGCTCTAATTAACTATTAAAACCACAGCCTTTAGCAACCGGGTAAGAAGCGAACGCGGAGATTTAAAAAAAAAAAAAAAAAGCAATTGTGTAACAAACTCAAGTAGCAGGGAAACATCCAGTCCTGGAAGTCTGCCTTTCCCAGGTTCCAGAACAAAAGAAGCCTTTGCCAACGAACGGGATTTGATTGCCTGCGCTCCACTTCCACTCCCCGAGCAATCACAGCTCGGAACACGGGCGCCCACAGCCTGCCCGGCTTCTCTGCTCCCCCATCAGGGCCAGCATTGGGGGGCAGGCCAGGCTGTTGCCATCCTTCGGGGACTCGGCGTCCCGGGAGGGAGCCAGGCCCTGCCAAGGGTCCCCCCAAGAGCTGGCACCTAACTCGGGTCAACCGAAGGCGACCGATCCCGGTGCCAGGCTTCTCCGGAGCAGGCGGGGTTAGGAAGGAGAGGAAACGGGGCGCCCAAACGGCACCGCCCCGTGCCTTATCAGCGTCCGAGGGGAAGGGCGGAGGGGCGAGCAAAAGAGCGGGCCCGGAGCCCGAGCTCCCGCCCGAGCGCCTTTTAAACTGCGTTTCTGCACCTCTCTCTCTGCGCCGCGGCGGCTGGAACCCGCGCGAGCCGCCCAGCCAATGGGCGCCGCGCTTCCTCCCGCCGTCCGCCAATGGCGGCGCGCGTTCTTGGGGCGTGCGCCAGCCAGGCCCCCCCCCCCCCCCCCCGCCTCGCTTCCCCACCTCCCAGCTTGTGTGTGTGGGCTAGGCTCGCCGCGGGCTCCCGGCTCGGCCGCTCTCGCTCGGTCGTGCGCCCCGGGCTTTTGTGGCGGAGCAGTCCCCGGCTTTGTGTCCCGACTTCCGCGCGGCCCCGCGGCGCTGCTCCCGGCACCGGATCCCTCCTCCCCCGCCCCGGACAGCAGCGAGAGCTAGCGAGCGAGCGCGCCGGCGTGAGCGACGACCGAGGGGCCGCGGAGAGGGGGGGGACCGAGCCGCCGTAGCCGAAGATGCCGGAGTTCCTGGAGGACCCCTCGGTCCTGACCAAAGACAAGTTGAAGAGCGAGTTGGTGGCCAACAACGTGACGCTCCCGGCCGGCGAGCAGCGCAAGGACGTGTACGTGCAGCTCTACCTGCAGCACCTCACGGCGCGCAACCGGCCGCCGCTCGGCGCGGGCGCCAACAGCAAGGGGCCCCCCGACTTCTCCAGCGACGAGGAGCGCGAGCCCACCCCGGTGCTCGGCTCCGGGACGGTCGCGGGTCGCGGCCGCGCCGCTGTCGGCAGGGTAAGGCCGCTCGGAGGAGGATGGGGGGGGGGGGGACGACCGCCGGGGACAGGCGTTTGACGGCCGCGGCGCGTGCTCGGCGGCGGGGCTGCGGGGCCGGACCCCCCGCGGGGTCGCCGTGGTCACCGAGGCCGCCGGCCCGGGAGGGGAGAGGGCTGGGGACCAGCCGCTCGGATGCTCGGCTGGCCCGGCTCCGGGGCCCCTGCGCGCTCCGGAGCCGGTGTAGACGCGGCCTCCCGAGCCCTGGGCTTAAAACCCCCGCAGGCTCGGCCCCAGCACGCGAGCCGAAGTTCGAGCGGTTTCCCGCTTTCGTGCCCTAGTGGCTCGCAAGCGAGGCTCAGAGCGCTCCCTGGAGGGCAGTTTGCGACATAGTCATCTCTGGCCAATTTTTATTTGAAATAAAGGTCTTCCCGCCTTTTTTTTTTTTTTTTTAAATAAGTCTATTTGGCACGCAGAGGTTCTTGGGGGACCGTTTGTTGCCTCGTGCGTGGTGCTCGTTCGCGGTCCGCCGGCCCCGCTTGTCGTGTGTTCGCGCAACTGTAAACTGGATGCTTTTGCACTGCGTTTGAGAAAGTCCCGTAGGCGTCCTGGAGAGTCCTAGTCAGTGAGAGTGATAACCGTTTTTAAGACTTTGCTCGAGGAAGTTAAAGATTCGGAAGCAGACAAAGTTGATGACGTACGGGGGTATCCGTATTACAGTTTGAAGCCCCAGATCAGTGACATCTCCTGGGTTCCCCCAAATATTTGCTATTTGGGTTTTTTGTTGTTGTTTTGGGTACGTTTTAAATAGTTTTTGTTGTTTATATTTAGAATTCAAGCATAAAAAGTAATTAAGACTTGATTGCTGTAACTTAAAATCTTTAAGAGGCCCAGTGAACGTTTTGATTGGAGCTGTTGCGGCTGTTTACCGGGGTAACCGAAAATGATGGCGGCTTGCCTCTCTAGTGCTGCCTTTTTTTCCTCTGCTTAGCATTTTCTACCGCGGCACTACCCCTCTAGTCAGTTTCTTCTTTGAAAGTTTTATACAGTGTTTTCTTGTTGAATGTTAGTTTTTTTCTTTAAATGTTTTTTTTTCTGATTGCTCAAATGAGAGAAAGATACGTCATAGACACGTGTGGATTTAGATGAGAAAACTTCGCTGCACTTCATTCCCCCAGTGTCTTAAGTCTCGCGCATAGTGGTGTCTAGTAAGCACTAGCCCGATAAATGGAAGGATCGGGTGCCTGTAATCCCAGCACTCTGGAGACGAGGCGGCGGATCAGGAGTTCGTGGCCATCCTCAGCTGCTTGAGCTCTTGTTTAAAACCAATAAATAAGTAATGTTGTATTCGGCACCTCCCCATTTGTGACTTTTGAGGGGCAAACATGCATTTTATTGCATTTTTTTAATTAAACAAAATACTGGATTTCATTCGAAATTTTTTACTTACATGTGTATCAAATTCTTTACGAATTTTCTCCCAATTGACTACCCCCCCCCATTCTGCCCTCCCATTGGTCCTTTTTATCCCCTTCTACTTTGAAGGTTACACTTTAAAAATACATCTAGGTTCTGCATATGAAGGAATATGCGATAGTTGTGTTTGGAAAGGGAGATGAGTTGAGATAGGGGCTCATCACCCTGGCTGTGCTCAGGGCTGGCCTTGCCTCTGACTCCCAGGTCCTGGGTTATGGGTGTGCAGCACCAATCCCAGTGGGAGAAAGCCACGATAAATCCGCAGTTAAGAACAAACCTGCCGAGCGGTGGGGGCGCACGCCTTTAATCCCAGCACTTGGGAGGCAGAGGCAGGCGGATCTTTGTGAGTTCGAGACCAGCCTGGTCTACAAGAGCTAGTTCCAGGACAGGCTCCAAAACCACAGAGAAACCCTGTCTCGAAAAACCAAAAAAAAAAAAAAAAAGAACAAACCTGGTGGTTCACGATTCTAACCTGGGAACTCGGGAAGCCGAGACAGGTTAGTGTCCAAAAAGCATCCTGTTAGTTCTCATGTCTGAGTTCCTCGTGTGTGCTGATTTCGTTTTTGACCTTAGCCATTCCGGCCCAACTCATCTTTAAATAACGACCCTACCCCTTTTTTTTGAGTAAGTTGGGTTGTGCCTTAAGCGCAGAGGGACGGTTAAGAATCTTCTAGGCACTGTGTTGATCCCTCATCACTTGTGGGGAGGCAGAGTGTACCTCCTGTGCCCCTGGATCTCTAAGCTAGCTCTGTGGGTCTCAGAATGATAGACAGGGTTGTATTCTCCACCTGCAGTATTTACATTTTTAAAATGTAGAACTTTTGATTGGACTCTGATATCAACTACTTGAAAAAATTAATATTGGCAATCAGTTGGTATTGTAGTTAAGCTACACGACTACAGTGAGTTTTGATTTTTAGATCTTAAATTGCCATCTTTAAGTCGTAGTACATTTATGATTATTTGTATAAAGTTATCCTTAGGTTTTTTTTCTGTCTTGGTCTCCTAAGTGCTAGATTTCAGGCACGTGCTACCATGCCCAGCCTTGGTAAACGTTTTTAGTTAAAGGATAAATTGTTTCAAAGCACCATTATAGTGTTCTACCATGGGTGCATATGATGGGGGGCCATGTGTATTTTGTCTTGTTTTCTATTTTTAGGCTTTTAACTCTTTCTTGATAACTGTTTCTGGGTGTTAAACTTATCTGGATAGTGAGCACAAGAGTAAACATTTATGGAGTTGCAATCTGCCTTTTTGTTTGAGCATGCAGAGAGTGCAAGTTGAGCCCCCTTCAGGGGGCCGGAGTTGAATCCAGAACTTCATGCATGCTTATTTATTGGATTTATTTACTTGTTATAGTCCAGGCTGGCATCAAATTATGGTTCTCTTAGGCTCATTCTGCTGGGAGTTCAGGTATGCCCACCATGCCTGGGCTGATGGTGAAACATGTGTTTGGTTGTTGGTCTTTTCCTCTTTGTTTTGGATTGTTTTGAGGCAGGATTCCTGTAGCTCAGACTAGACCTGAACTCTTGTATAGGAGGGTGGCCTTGAACTCCGATGCTCTGCCACCACCTGTTCTGTTCATATAAAATATAAAAATCTAATAGTCATTTAATTAAGTTGGAAATTGATGAATTAGGTTTCGTAAGTGTGTGCCTTGTGTTCAGTAACTTACTGCTACAATTAGTTTCTGATTTTCCTCTTTGATGTCAGGGCAATGCAGTGCAAAGTTTCTGTAGTAATAGTTACCAGGAAAGGTTGTGTGCAAAGGGATCATATAACAAGTGTGTAAATGTTGCTAGAGACACACTGAACGTTTACTAGATTAGTCTTGGGCCTCAGTTTCCTTACTTTGTAAGATGGAGATATTAATGTGTCTGTCTCACGGGAGTTTTAGGATTCTTTTTTGTTTGTTTTGAGACAGTTTTTAGGTGTAGCCCTGGGTGTCCTGGAACTCTCTGTAGACCAGGCTGGCCCTCAAATCAAGATCTGCCTGCCCCAGACAGTGTTAGCACACCTTTAATCCCAGCAGAGGCGCGGAGGTCTCTTGAGTTCGAGGCCAGCCTGATCTAGGTTAGTTCCAGGATGGCCACAGCTACACAGAGAAACACTGCCTCCATAAAACCAAAATCAAACAAAAAGTTCTGCCTGCCTCTGTTGGAATTAAAAGTGTGTGCCACCCTGCCTTGCCTGGCTTATTTTTTAGAGTTCTTTAAGATGGTACAAGTATAATGCACTTAAAATGCAACTGGATACGTAGCCCATGTTCAGTGGAATATCTTTTTTTTTTGTTTTGTTTTGTTTTGTTTTGTTTTTCGAGACAGGGTTTCTCTGCGGCTTTGGAGCCTGTCCTGGAACTAGCTCTGTAGACCAGGCTGGTCTCGAACTCACAGAGATCGCCTGCCTCTGCCTCCCAAGTGCTGGGATTAAAGGCGTGCGCCACCAACGCCCGGCTGGAATATCTTTTAATAGTAGCTGGACATGGTGGTTCAGGCCTCTAGTCCCAGAACTTGGGAGGCAGAGGCTGGAGGATTGCTGGGAGTTCAAGGTCACCCTGGGTTTCAGTGCTTGGAAGCTCAGACTGTCCTTCCAGAGGACCCAGGCTTAGTTCTCAACTTTGACGTGGTTGCTCAAACCTGTAACTCCTTGCTCCGGGGATCTGGTGCCCTCTTGTGGCCGCACATGGTATTCACAGTAATGCTGGCAAAGCACTCGTTCACATAATTTTTGTTTTGTTTTGTTTTGTTTTTTCGAGACAGGGTTTCTTTGCAGTTTTGGAGCCTGTCCTGGAACTAGCTCTTGTAGACCAGGCTGGTCTCGAACTCACAGAGATCTGCCTGCCTCTGCCTCCTGAGTGTTGGGATTTAAAGGCGTGCGCCACCACCACCCGGCCACATAATTTTTTTTAAAAGAAAAGATTAATTTATATACTTAAAGCTACCAAAAGGAGAATTCCACACAGTGGTACTTTCTTCTTGGTTGAAACTGCTGCTTTGTTAATTATATATGCCAAACTACCTGCTGCCCAATTTTTGTTCTTATTTAATGTATTTTGTTAGGTAGTATTCAGTTTTCCTGGAATTTTTTTTTCCCCTACAGATTAAATTTTAAAATCACAGCCTGCTGCTGGATCCCCTACTTTCTGGTTCACTTCATGATAACATAATTGCCCACTCCAATTTCTTTTGTTTTTCACTTGAAGTTTTTTCATTATGGAAGTGTGGATTGGTTTCCTGCTTCTAAAAAACCTTGCGTTGTTTCTGTGTTTTTTTTATTTTTTTATTTTTTTTTTTTATTTTCTTGTCGCTCTCTGAGGGCAGACTGGAACCTAGAGCGTGCCAGGCAGACATTCCCCTGTAGAGCTGTATTCAGGCCCATCCGTCGTTTCCAATAGGAAATGGGGGCTGGAGTGATGGCTCAGCCATTAAAGGCTAGGCTCACATCCCAAAGCATAAGAAATGGATTGGTTTTTCTCATCAAATTACACTTTGAATTATTTGATTTATGGATTAGGCTCTGTTTCTTTCCCTTTTTTAAAGATTTATTTATTTATATAATGTATATGAAGTGCTCTATCTGCATGTATACCTACAAGCCAGAAGAGAAGAGGACATTAGATCCAACTATAGATGGCAATGAGCCACTATGCAAATGCTGGGAATGGAACTCAGGACCTCTGGAAGAGCAGCTGGTTAATTTAACTGCTGAGCCATCTCTCCAGCCCCTGGGCTGTTTCTTGTTTCTCTGTTTTAATTTTTCATTTTATGTGTATGGTGTTATGCCTGAATGTATGTCTGTGTGTCACTTGCCCAGTGCCCTAAGAAACCATTCAAATCCTCTGACACTATAGAGTTAGAGACTGATGTGAGCTACCAATTGGGTGCTGGGAATTGAAGAGCAGCCAGTGCTCTTAACTGCTGAGTCATCCTCTGGTCCCCTTTGCCTCATTTTTGATGCTTGGGATAAAAATTAGGTACTATAATTGCATTCTTTCTCATGTTGTCTTATATACTATATCCAGATTACTCAAACTATACATTAAAAAATGGTAGCCCAGTATGAAGAATCAGATTGGGTCAGGTACTGTAGCGTGACTGTAATTCCAAGACTCAAGAATATGTTGACTAGGGCTGGAGAGATGGCACAGAGGTTAAGAGCATTGTCTGCTCTTCCAAAGGTCCTGAGTTCAATTCCCAGCAACCACATGGTGGCTCACAACCATCTGTAATGGGTCAGGTGCCCTCTTCTGGCCTGCAGGCGTACACACAGAATATTGTATACATAATAAGTAATAAATAAATATTTTAAAAAAAGAATATGTTGACCAAAGTTCATTTGTTTTACTTTGTTTTTATTTCTTTCTGGATACCTTTGGACACACAATTGCTGTCTCTTCAGTTAGGCAGGGCCTTGCCAGTGAGACATACCCTCACCTCCAACAGCAGTGTTTAACATTTAAGGTACTTAAAGTTACTTGTGTATCGGGCTTGTTCAGTCTAACACAGTGGGACTTAGAAAAGCCTTCAAATAATGAATTTGCGGGGCTAATATAACAATAAGTTACTTGCTGGCTGCATAGAGTGGCATGAGTGTAAATGCTCTCCAGGTAGAGAAGATAATTCTACTTTGTTTATAGAAAGCCACAAAAAAAACTGATAAGCCCAGACTTGAAGATAAAGATGACCTAGATGTGACCGAGCTCTCTAATGAAGACCTTCTGGATCAGCTTGTGAGATACGGGATAAATCCTGGTCCCATTGTGGGTAAGTTGATCAAATCTCAAAGTCTTTTCCAAGAAGCAAGACCCCAGATCTTTTTTTTTTACTCTTATTAATGGTTAGGATTGGGTCTTTTGTGGATGGTGTGTGTGTTTTTTTGTTTTTTTTTTTTTTTTTCTGTAGCTTTGGACCCTGTCCTGGAACTAGCTATGTAGACCAGGCTGGCCTCGAAAGCAAGAGATCCTCCCGAGTGCTGGGATAAGGTGTGCGCCACCACCTCTGCCCAGCTGGAATTGGGTCTTCAGGGGCTATCAGTCGTTATTTATGTGACCAATCAACACTTAAGTTTCCTTCATTCTAAATAAGGAAGATAAAAAGGAGAGTTTCCAGGAGATAAAATGTAAGTTTACCTATTGCTGCTGTCCTAGTCAGTGGTTGTTTTCGCACCATTCTGTAAGCCTGATCTTATCTGGCAGTTGAAGGGAATGTGGTCAGATCTTCTCAGTGAGTTAAAAGTATTTTTATTTAAGTGTGTTTTGATAGCCCTCAAGGACAAATGGAGCAGAAGACAGCAGCACCAAAGGCTCTGGATTCTCCTTAGCTCTTCTAGGTAGCAGCAGTTTTGCCAGGGTCATTGTGATTCTCTTACAGGGTTTAGGCAGTAACCTCCAGGTGAGAAAAATTCACACACAACTTTAGGTTTGTGTAAAAACTTGAACACTGGGTGGGGCTTGGTGTGTTTGTTATAACTATGACTAGAAACAATGGTTTGGTTTTGTCCTTTGTTTAAGCCTGGGTTTTACTGTGTAGCCAGCCTATCTTTGCTACCCAAGTGCTGGATTTAAAAGCACTGGCTGCTCTTCCAGAGGTTCTGAGTTCAATTCCCAGCAACCACATGATGGCTCACAACCATCTGTAAATAGATATAGTGCCCTCTTCTGGCTCGTAGACATAACATGCAGGCAGAACACAGTATACATAATAAATAAATCTCTTAAAAATATAAAATAAAATTTAAAAAAGTATGTGCTTCATAGGCTACTCACAGATAGACAAACCTGTGGCTATAATTACCAGTAGACATTTGATATCTTTTGTAAAATTCTGAGAGACACTGAGATGTATATTACATGAAAATAGGCTAAATTACATGTTAATGTGCCAATCGTTTGTCCTAAGACTGCTTACATAGTTCCTAAATATGTGTAGTTTGTGAGCAATGTACCAGTTGTATCATCTTCCAGAAATTATGGAAAGATACGTGCCAAATGTAAATAGAAAAATTAAAGATATTCAAGTATGCCTTGCCCGGCTCTTACAGTCTTTAAGTCTCAAAGAAATCACACAGGTCTACATTAGTTATAAACTGATAGGCCTAGTAGCTCAGACTTCTTATTAACTCTTATAACTTATATTAGCCCATTCTTGTCTGTGGTAGCCACATAGCTCAGGACCGTATTCAGCAAGGTAGTTACATCTTGCTTCTTCTGTGGCTAAGTCATGACTACAGAATAGGACTTCCTTCCTCTCCCAGAATTCTCATTGTCCCACCTATACTTCCTACCTGGCTACTGGCCAATCCACTTTTATTAAAATACAATTGACAGGGTACACACCATTGTCCCGCAGCATTATGGTCTTGTGTTACCGTTCCAGAGAAACAGTGCTTTGGAAGAGGACATTATGCGTTATTTCTAATCACTTACTTTAGAACCATATTACTTAAAAGCTGATTTCCAACAGGTGCTGGAAAGATGGTCCCAGTTTGAAGTCTGTACTGCTCTTTATGAGACCTGATTCTTGCTAGAGCCCACATGAGGTGGCTCACAAAGGCCTGCAACCCTAGCTCCAGGGCACCTGGCTCCTCTGTCCCATGCACATAATGTGTTGTTGTTGTTTGTTTTTAGTCTTGTAAAAAGATAGTAAGTGCCAATACTAATGGAACTTTTGCCTTACCACAGGGACAACCAGGAAGCTGTATGAGAAAAAGCTGTTGAAACTGAGGGAGCAGGGGGCAGAATCACGATCTTCTACTCCTCTACCAACAGTCTCTTCTTCAGCAGAAAATTCAAGACAGAACGGAAGTAACGACTCTGACAGATACAGCGACAATGAGGAAGGTAAATTTTAAATGCTGTTAGTCAAATGTGTGGGGGTTTTCCTGACTCAGTATTGACCATAAAGAAGGTAAAGTTTAAAACAGTATTGCCAAAATATATGGAATTTTTTTTTGTCTAAGTAGCCATTTAACTTTTGCTTCAAATAGAATTTTTGTAAAGGCAAAGTTCTCTTTCTCCATTATCACATCTCCAGAAGAAATCATTAATTTGATATTTGTCTTTCCAATTTTTATGTTTGATGATCAGTTTGATAAATGCTCCTTTGTTTTTTTTTTAAATTCTATATAAGTGATATGCTGAGTCTTATGTGCTATTTTGTTCAGTGTTGCAGTTTTTAGATCATTACGTGTTTATTTCTTATAATTAATAATATAGTGTTAATATTTAAATATGACCTTTTTTCTCTATTGATAGGCATACAAGTTATTTGAAAAATTTTGCTTACATAATTTGATTTCATGGTAATTTGGACCATGATTTTAAATACTTTTTAAAATAGAACAAGACATACATTCCTTTTTAAACCAGAATAAATGCAGACTTTGATATTTAGAGTTTTAACTCATAATTTGCTAATTTTGTAACTATTTAATCTGACCATGCCTTCCAAGGCACTGTGTACCAAATTGGTTGCCAAGAGTGAAGTATAGGGTCCTTTTCTTCAGCAACACTATTTTAGCAAGGAGGCAAAGAGTAAGACCAGCCCAGACCACGCTTAAACTTCCTGCCTCTTTTGCCTCTACAGGAAAGAAGAAAGAACACAAGAAAGCGAAGTCCACTAGGGATTTTGTTCCTTTTTCTGAACTTGCATCCGCTCCCTCTGGTGGATTTTTTCAGGGTATTTCTTTTCCTGAAATCTCCACCCGTCCTCCTCTGGGCAGGACTGAACTGCAGGCAGCTAAGAAAGTGCACTCTGCTAAGGGTGCTGAGCCAGCCTTGCTGGGGCAGGGGCAGACATCCATTCCTTCAGAATCTAGCTATGATAGATGCGTAGAGAAAAGTTCTCCGTCATCTTTTCAGCGTGAATTCGCTGCCAGGTTGGCCTCTGTGGCCGCTTCTCCTTCACTGATAAGAGAGACCACTACTAGCTACTGTAAAGACACAGTAGAAAGCATTCACCGTGGAGAGAGGCGTAGAGCCCAGCCGGCGTGCACTGCGGGGTCTGAGCAGTCAGTTCTCTGTAGTGAAAGGGAAGTGCTGCAAGAGTCAGAGAGATCCCAAGTCATTTCCCCACCGCTTGCCCGTGCAATCAGAGACTATGTCAATTCTCTGCTAGTCCAGGGTGGGGTCGGCAGTTTGCCTGGGGCTTCTAATTCTGCCCCCATACTGGATATAGAAAACATATGTAAGAGACTCAGCCAGTCTGGCGGTGAAGAGTCTGGATCCCTGTCTCCTCCCCACAAAGTCCCTAAACTCAGTGAGACCCCTGTAAAAGAAGGGAATTCAGGGTCACGTGTGGCGTCTCAGGACAAACCTGAATCTGAACATATGTCTGCTTTTGCCAAAAGTGTTGTCTCTCGTTCCCTTACTACCTTAGGAATAGATAAAATAGATGCCTCAGACCCGTCTTTTCCTCTGCACGAGTCTATTTTGAAAGTAATCGAAGAGGAGTGGCAGCAAATTGACAGGCAGCTGCCATCATTGGCATGCAGATATCCAGTTTCTCCCAGCGAGGCAACACAGATACTGTCCGTCCCAGCAGTAGATGATGAAATCGTGGGGCTCGTTTCAGAAACTACCCCAGGAGCAGCAAGTCAGGCGTCCTCCGTTGAGTCTTGTGATAAACATGTGGACTTGGCTCTCTGCAGATCCTACGAGGCTGCAGCATCCACAGTGCAGATTGCCGCCCACACTGCCTTTGTAGCTAAGTCTCTGCAAGCCGACCTGAGCCAGGCGGCACAGCTTATTAGTTCAGACCCGAGTCATCCACACCTAGCACTTGAGATTCTGAGCAGAGCCTACGATGCAGCTTCATATCTCTGTGATGCTGCGTTTGATGGAGTGAGGGCGTCTGCCCATGCCATGGGGTCTTCTACTCTGGGCCGGCGGCATCTGTGGTTGAAGGACTGTAAGATTAACCCAGCTTCTAAGAATAAGTTGACTGCTGCCCCCTTTAAAGGTGGGACATTATTCAGAGGGGAAGTACACAAAGTTATTAAAAAGCGTGGAAAGAAACAGTAATAAAGAACAGAGACACAAGCTTTGACTTGTAGAATTTATGAGCTTCTAGGAATTTTCTTTTGAGGCCTTTTAGTTGCAACAGAGCTGATTTCAAGTGCTAAGCTCCCACTCATCAAAGCATAGTCTGACAGCACATCCAGAAGCCTAGTAGAGTTTACCTAACACTTCCACACACGTCTTACACTGTTTCCTCCTGGTTAGTTTATAGCTCTGGATTTAAAAAAGAGTTCCAGCAGCCAAAATATCAGTAGAAGCCTCACTTTTTTGTTGACAGCTCTCTCTAGCCCTGGATGTCCTGGAACTCAGAGAGATCCCTGCCTTTGCGTCCTGAGTGCTAGGATTAAAGGCGTGTGCCACCACTGCCCGCAGCCTCGCTTTTTTTCCTTCTTTTTAGCAGTATCATTCACATGCATGCCCTTGAGCCTAGATCAGAGTTAAACATTGTTAATCACTTGAAATACTGTTCTTTTTTTTCTTCTCAAAGGAATTTATTTTGCACACTCTAGTGTGCAGGAATGCCGAGTCTCACAGCAGTGATAGGCTCGCGCCCTGTGATTTCTGTCTGCTCTGCTCTCTTCTGCTTGTTTTCATCACACACATCTCTTGCCGGCCACTTCTGTAGCAGAACTCTTTTTGTCACTCTTGGCTAACTAGATACATGTTCTAAAATTTGTCTGCATTCTTGTTCGCGCTTTTGTTTACAGCACACTTCACGATAATGCTAGATCATTGTAACTCTTTGAGTGCCAGTGTACAGACTCGCTAATTCAGACACTGCAAGAAAGGAAGGGAAAGGGTGATGAGAGTTTAAATCTAGAGATACTTCGTAGGAGAACAATACGAGATATGTGTACACACATGCTCACGGGTGTGCTTATTTTTTTAGTAAGCTAATTTTAAAAAGCAGTATCCAGTTGTGCATTCAGATAGAGGAGGTAGCTGGCGGTTCACGGGTCACACGAGCGTGAGGACGACACTTTGAGGGACGCACTATGGGTGGCAAGAAGAAGATAGTCTGTTCACTTAGCATGACTTGTTAGATGAGTAAGACACTACAAAGACAGGGCCCTTTTACTTACATGGACTTAAAAGGGGTGTGTTGTATGTCCTGGGTAGTTAAATTTCAGATCTGAATGCCAAAATTAGCAAATTTAAATTATTTTCTAAAAACCTATACTCCAATGTCTATGTCTGTATGAAGCAATGTATTACCCTGTTTTCATTTGTATGGTGGTAAGGTAAGGGAGCTTGACTAGAGAGACATGGCGAGTAGTCTGAGCGTGTACATGTCTACTCCTATTGTGTTCTTAGACTCCACATTCCATCTCTGCAGCTGTGGTATTTGTCTTCTGAAATGTACATGTGTACATGTACCTGTTAAGTACTGTGTGATTTCTCTAAAGCAATGTATTCCTGTAGAATGCTTCGACAAATTCAATAAAGTTGTTAAATTTGAACAGTTTGTGTGGTCTCCAGAAACATGTTTTATGTGTGCTTTCTTATTGGAGTTTCAACAAGTTGAATGTTTGGATGAACATACCCTTTCCATTTTATCATTGAAACGTTCCAGGAGTGTAATTGAAAATATTCTTGTCATATATACTTTCATATTTAAGGGCCATATATTTAATTGGCTGTTAGAATCTAAATTTGAACAAGGGCTTAATTTGAAACCAGATAACTTATTTGTCTAGTCAGTTTCTGTTTCACTAGTAGGTTTTTTTGCTCTATGCTATTTCAAGTTTCTGAGATTCTGAAAGAAAGAACAAGAGTAGATTTATTATACCAAGGAGTGTACCAAATAGATACACTCAAAATCTAGTAATAGTGTTGGGGATAGACTTGATTGGTCTTATTTGATTGTTATCATTGTTTGGGGGAGAGGGACATGGCAGGCGTGTTTGGACTTACATATAAGGTTATATATAAGATTCGATTGGAAGGCCAACAAGACAACAAAGTTATCCTGATCACTTTGAAGCGTGACTACAGAAAGCAAACTCTTGGAATAAAAGTTTTAGCAGTATTTGCTTTACTGTGACAAAAGTAGAAAGGTGAAAGGTTTTGCTTTGTTTTGAGGCAGTCTCACTGTGTAGCACAGACCAGTCCACTCTAGACCCTCCTGTCTCTGCAGCCCCGGGTGCTAAAATTACAGGTGGGCACCACCATGGCTGCTGGGACGTTAAGTTTTTCAATGTATTTTAAAGATTTCATATAGGTCTTCAAGTTACAGTAAAATCAAGACTGAAAGAATTAGAACATCAGCTCTTTTTAAAACTGTTAGTGCATTAATGACTTTAAAGAGACTCATCATCTTAGTTGCTTCTTTTGTTGGGGATTGAACCTAGCAACCCAAGTACATGCTCTACTACTGAGCTACACCCCCTAATTAAAGCTCTCCTTGGCAGCTAATATTATCAAATGATTGGTGCCACAAATCTTGTTTTTAAAATTCTCCCCTTCCACATGCTAAATTTTAATTTAATAGCTAGCCTTTGCTGTGTAGCAGTGATGTCTATGCGGCAGCATAGACAGAAAAATGCGTCCACGTTGGCTTTGGTTTCTAGTGAAGAGCCTGCGCAGGAGCAGTTCGAATTCTCTTTTAAGGTTATTCTAGGGGTGGGAAGAAATGGAAGAGAGTAATCAGATCAAACAGTGGGAAGCCACAAATATGGACTGAGATTATAAAAGTAGAGGTTTAGGCTGTTTTGTTTTTTGTAAGAGGGTTTGTTTGATAAATTTTACTATGCCGGTTTGCTCCATTGATGTTTTATAACAATAAACAGATTGTCATGTGTGCTGATGTGTCTAAAACCACGGTTCCAAAGTAATATTAGTAAAACATACCTCGAGTGTTTCGGTAAATAATGATTTCTCCAATGTTATTTCCAGACTCTAAAATAGAGCTCAAGCTTGAGAAGAGAGAGCCACTAAAGGGCAGAGCAAAGACACCAGTAACACTCAAGCAAAGAAGAACTGAGCACAATCAGGTATCGGGAGCTTTATGGTAGCTTTATGATCACCGTATGCAGGTGTGAGTCGCCTCATCTGTCCCGCCTGTCGACCAGCTTACTCCCTCAGTCCGCTTAGTCTCGTTGTTAGATGGTGTGGGAAATAGGTAGTTTGTGGGGTGCGTCGGTAGCATAGCCTGTGGTGTCTGTCCTGTGCCGAGGAGCCACACTGCCCACTTTGTCATTTTGGTGCAGTGGATTTGAACCTGGGATCTCGGGTGTGCTGGAGGCCAGTGCTTCCTTTTGAGAGGGATGGTTTCAGAAGACAGAAATGTCCTTTTGATTCAACTTCTTTGGAATTTAGATGAATAGTTTTATATATACATCTGTTGTCTTTGTGTCTAGACTTCTGAATTTGAATCGGCTTTGTTTCATCATTTGTGGCTTTCCCCTACACTTTGAAGTTAGTATGACTCTAAAACTACATTATTTAAGATAAAGATTTACAGTTGGGGGGGGATAGCGAGATACAGTTTCCAAGAGGAAAATTATAGGAAACTGGGGAGAAAATAAGTATAAGGCATTAATAAATAAATACATTGCTTTACAGAGGAACTTTACAGGCTCTAATTTCCGCCTGGTTCCAAGGATTCTTCTCATCCTTACTCTCCAACGTGTTACTTTGTTACTCCTCTGTCTCTATTCCACCTCCCTGTCCTGTCTGCCTCATTTCTGTGGTGGTTTTGAGATAGTGTTTCACTGTGTAGCCGAGGCTGGCCTTGAACTTGTCAAGCTTTCGTGAGAGATGGCATTGGATCACAGCTGTGCACTGCCCTGCCCTGCTTCCTCCAGCCTGTGCCTCCCAGATGCAGGGTGGCAGGATTGTGTCACCGTTCCTGAACAGACGTGGTTTACTGGGTAATCTAGGCAAGGACTCTGTATTGATTCCCATTGCAGCTCTCTTCTCCCTGTTTGACAGACATAGTTGATCGTGACAGTATTTCTTACATTCGGGCAGGGGAGGCTGTTTGAAATGCTTGGGTCCTTTTCCTGATGTTCTGTCTAATCTGCTATCCTGGAGACCTGACCTGTACAGGTGTGACAGTCTAGTCGCCATGGAAATGTTGGGTGTCAGGGATGGAATCGTCTTTTTAACTATTATAGTGGGACTGAGGCTGCTCCATTTAAACACAAGTATTGGACAGTGTAGACCTTAGGAGTTGGCCTGGGTTTGGATTCAGTTTCTTTGACAGTGTTTCATGAGTGATGTAGCCCTCCTGTTGATCGTTTCCTTTAAATACACTGAAGTTAACTAGCACGTTCGGATGCTGAAAGGCTGACCCTTGTCTGGCCTTTTTACTAAAGGTTAGCAGCTGTGGATGACAGTGCCTCAGGTCATGATGGCTTTATTTGAAATTATAAAATGATGGCTCTTCCCTTTGCCTCGTTATTTGCTCTATAGCTTTTATAAAAGACTTTGCTGAGTTCCTTAGTTACCTTGAAGTCAGATATTACAAGAGAACCAGAAAAATGCCTCTTATTTGCCAGTTTTCAAATTAAAGCACTCCATCGTTTTTACAGATGATAAATGTTTTTGAGACAGTCTCTCGGTGTAGCCCAGGCTGGCCTGGAACTAACAGAAATGAGAGTTTTAGAATTAAAGGTGTGCCCAACGACACTGGATAATAAATGTTTTATGCTGTGATTTGTATATTCATGATCAGTTGTAATACATAATGATTACTCCTTCGTACCAGAGCCTTCTGCATGCAGTACAAGCACTTCACTACTGGGCTCCATTCCCAGCCCAATAGACGGGGTCTGGAGGCTCGTCCCTCGTTTCCCTTCTTTCTCCCGTCCTTTCGGAGAACTTGTGAACACACAATGACATTTCGAGTTTACAAATATAGGTTATAAAGTTGGTTCTGACACGTGTCTCATGCTGAGTATCTCGTTTTTTCTAATTATTCTTTTCTTAATTTAAATATCATGTTTTTCCTGTTTCAGAGTAAGGGTACTAAGTGCAATCCATTGCATTTTCATTAAGATATATCACTAGGATATAAAGTAAGATACTGCGTGTTCAATCTTGTGAATGAGTACTTTTTATAGCTTAATATACTGCTGGTGATTTCCCTTACTCTAGAATTGATTGCTTTCCCCTAAGTTTAGAGTCTGTTCTCTTTTGGAAGTGCTCTGTAATATTCTTTATTTTTGCTCCTTTCCCCTTTGCATCAGTCATTTGGAGTTCACTCCAAATCAAAATAGATTTTTCCTTCCCATTCCTCATGCAGCTGGATCCTGCATGTTGAGATTTGTGGGTGTGCCGTAATTTATTCAGCTGCTTTCCTTGGGTGAATGTGTGAGTTCTTTTCACGTAGGTGGTGTTTCTTTTTTTTTTCTTTTTTCTTTTTTCTTTTTTTTTTTTTTTTTTTTTGGTTTTTTNGGGACTTCTTTTCTCTAATTCATGAACTTAAAAGTAGCCGTCATACTCAGTCAGCATTTATATGTGTGCTAGAGATGGGAACTCTGGTCCTCATGTTTGTGCAGTATGTACTTTTTCCACTGAACTACCTCCCTACCCTCCCTAATTAACAAATATTACTGTGCTCCTATTGAATGTTGACAATCAAACAGAAATAAAAGCACTGATACTTTACTTTCTAAGCCCAAAGGCAAATAGTTTACATGCTAAAGTTCTCCAATTTCATTAATGTTTTGTTTACATAAAAAGGGCAATATGATCTGCTGCCCTGCGATTTTTGGTTTGTGTTGAGGGTTTTTATTTTTTATTTTTTTTTGGTTTTTCGAGACAGGGTTTCTCTGTGGCTTTGGAGCCTGTCCTGGAACTAGCTCTGTAGACCAGGCTGGTCTCGAACTCACAGAGATCCGCCTGCCTCTGCCTCGCCCAGCCGTAGGTGGTGTTTCTACCACGACAAACAGCCATTTGCGGGTGGCATTTCATCTTTCTCCGTTTGTCTCTGGAAAATGCATGAGTGAAAGGGTTGTGTAGTTTTTCTAGGCATCACCAAATGCCTTGTACCCCAGCAACACTGAGAGCACTGTTCTCTGTTGGGGTGATAGAGTTAGTGGAAATGGTCACTATTCAGGCCTCACCTCCGTGTGGGTAGTGAGCACTTGAGACTAACAGAGCCTCATCCTCGCTCATTGATATAGTCTCTTTCCCCTCTCTCCTACTGTCCTGAGAATCAAATCCAGGAATTTTCACATGCTAGGTACCTATACCATCCTTAAGCTATACCCCTTTGCTAATAGTTTGAGAGTCTCACTGTGTAGCCCAGGCTAGCCTCAAGCTCCTCATCCTACTGCCTCAACATCCTGTGGTTCACAAGTGTATACCACCATGCCAAACACTTTTTTTTTTTCTTGTGGAGGGCTGGGGTTCAGAGCTTAGAGTTTGTTTGGGGTTTATAGCCTTCAATAGTCCATCTCCTGTATTTTCACATGCCTCAGCCACCTGATGCCCTCTGGCTTATTCGTCACTTAGTAG